TATTGTGAACAACGCTGCAATAAACATACGTGTGCAGGTATCTTTTTTATAGAGTGATTTCAGTTCTTCAGGATATATTCCCAGTAGGGGGACTGAGGGGTCATATGGGAGGTTGATATTTAGAGCTTTTAGGAATCACCACACTGCTTTCCACAGAGGTTGCACTAGTTTACACTCCCACCAACTCAATTCAGATTCTTTATAGTCTAGTTTAGACTCAACACAGAAGCCAGATGATCACTTAAAAATTTAAATCTAATGATATCTCTCTTCTCAAAACTCTTTATTGACTACCTATCGAACCCAGAGTAAAAATCACATCCCTTGCAAAGGCTTCCTATGACCTCTCTGACCTCATCTGCTCCTGGCTCACTCAACTCCAGCTGCCTTGGCCTCCTTGCTGTGCTTTGAATAGATCTGCTATGCTATGCCTCAGGGACTTTGCACTGACTATTCTCTCTGCTTAGATTGTTCGTGTTCCAACTATCTATAAGGGCAACTTCCTTACCTCTTTCTGAAATGTCACCTGCCCATTTTAACTGAAATTGTAAACTTCTGATGCCTACCTCCTAAAATTTATATTCCACTTATCTACTTTATTTTTCTAACTTTTTATTAGAAAATTTCAAACATATGCAAGAGTAGAGTATAATACAATTCTAAGTATTCATTACCAATTTTATAAAACCATGGTCAATATTTTGACATTTATCCTTATCTGCTATTCTTTTTTTTCTTTTGAATGTATTTTTTATTTATTTTATTATTTATTCATCTTATTGTAAAAATGTGGGGTACAATTCAGGGTTAAGTATACAAATGTTCGTTATGCAGGTACCCTTGTTGATGAGGTATGCCCCTTCCTTCACACCTGATTATTTTAAATCAAACCTAATAACGAGATAATTACATTTCTAATAAAGTCTGTTTTCCTGATTTTTAATTATGTTTAATAATGCCACTGTGAACATTGAATCAGCAAATATTAAACCATTACTCCTAGGGGAAATACACAGTTAGGTTCCTGAGAGCCACTGGTCACATGCCTTATATGTGTTTCTACAGAAGTGCACCTCCATTAGTATATATTGTTGACTCCTTAGCGTTGTACTCAGGGTCAAGAGCACTATCATTCAAGCTTGAAAAAAACGAATCTAACACTTGTGTTTTCCCTGTTAAGCACATCACAGCCTTCTTCAACTTAGAAACACTCGAGAGCCCTTCAGCATTATAATTAGGGGACATTTTAAACAACAAAACCCCAAGAAAAAACAAAAAAATGCAAAAAATATGGCACTAAGAAGATCATAAAAAGAACATGTATTTACAGTTTGTAGTATGAGAGCTTTAACAAGAAGGCAGCGTTGCCTTGTTCAGCCTCAGCTGTGAATGTGTGCTTCAAAAGAATCAAGATTTTTATCTCTCAGCACATGTCTCTGAATGATTGTGAAAGTACTTTGAGTGTTAATTCTGAGGTTACAAATAAATTTTAGTGAGCAGGTGAGTTCATAAATATGGAATCTGCAAGTAATAAAAATCTTCATTTTAGTATCAATCCCCAACAGGAAGAGATTCCTTTAGAAAATATAATCACAAAATTATTATTTTATCAAAATTTTAATAATATCACCAAGTATCCAATCATTGTTGCATTCCTCTAATTTTTGCTGTTTTTAAAATCTCTTTTAATCTATGTTTCCTCTCTATCCCTATATTTTTTTTCTATTTTGTTTTTACCTTGAAACCCTGGGTTGAAGAAACAGATTATTTATTTCCCATAGTTTGGATTTTGCTGATTGTTTTTCTGGCATTGTCTAATTTGGTCCTCTGTCCCCTGTACTTCCAGTATATTGGTAGTTAGATCTAGAGACTTAATCAGATTCAGGTTTTATTTATTTTTGTTTTTTGGCAAGACTACTTCACAGGCTATGTTTTATATTTCCATCAGAGAGTACATAATGTCTGTCTGTTTCTCATTTAGTCATATAAATCACTACTGATGCTCATTTCCTTGATCAGTAGTTCTCAAGGAGGGACAATGCCCCTATCCCCACAAGGGATATTTGACAATGTCTGGAGAGCAGCAGCCAGAGATGCTTCTAAATATCCTGCAATACACAGGACTGCCCCCTACAGCAAGGAATTATCCTGCTTAACATGTTGGAAAACGGTGATACTCTAATTCTATCATTCATGTTCCATTGATTAATTGAAATACTTATATACAGAGAAACTTCCCCTCAAAGTTTAATCATAAACTTTCAGTATTCTGAAGTACAAATTCTATGGAAGTGGCCAGATTTAAGCACCACTGTGATATTTAACATTGTCCCAATTTAGACAAGTAGGAGCCTATTCAAATAGTTTTCTTTCTTTTTAAAAACCAATTAAAAAATAAAATATATAACTGGCTTGACATATTTATTGTATGCTGCATGTCTCTGCACTAAAGTAAGAATACTTGTTTGCTATGTTCATGAATATACTTTAAGCATCTAATTCGTGTCTGGCACAAGGTTGACATTAAATATTTATTAAATGAATGAATCACAGTAAGTGACTAGAGGGGGCACTATTTTAGAATGTGTGGTGAGGGACAACCTCTCTACAGATGGTACATTGATATAATACTTGAATGTCGAGGAGGTGCCAGACATGTGAAGATTTGAAGAAAGAACATTCCAGGCAGAGGAAAGACTTAATGCAAAGATTCGAATGCAGGAATTAGTTTGGCTTATTTGAAGATCCAAAATAAAGTCACTGTTACTGGAGCAGAGTGGGCAAAGAAAAATGGTACCAGGTAAAGTTGAAGAGGTAGGTGGGGTTGAGATCTAACAAGCCATGGGGATGAGTTTGTGTTTTATTGTTTGATGGGAGAAAACTGGAAGGTCTTAAGCAGGAAAAGACATGATTAGATTTACATTTTGAAGAGAAGCACTCTGGAGTCATGTGAAGAAATGGCCTTTGGAGGGCAAGGGTAGAAACAAGGAGTCCCATTAGGAAATGACTGGAGTAGTTGAGATTGGGTGGAGAGAGTTGTGTGTCGGGGGGTAGGATTGTGGGAAGGGAGATGATAGTAGCCACAGAGATAAAGAGAAGCAGTTTAAAATACGAGAAAACTGAAACCTAAATGTATGCTGCCTTAACACATGCAATTACCTTAAATATCTGATAGGTTATTATGGTATTATGATATCAGGCATTTGTAAGATGGCAAGGCTTGCAATTTGGTAATT